CTGTGAGGTGCCATGTTAGGAGAGAGGGTAACACCAAGAGGAAAGTCGGCTTGCAACAGGGGTCTGTGCACTTCCATGTTGGTGGGAGGGCAACTGGTGGCTATGGAAAATCCGAGCTGGTTCAGGCAACAAAATGCTTGCCAGGCCAAACATCCAACCAAATGGCCACAAACGAATGTCTCCGAGACGGGCCACGCCCTGTTTCAGATGCCCTCCCAGCAGAGTTAGATCCAGCATGCCGCGGCATGCCGAGGCACTCGTTGGGATCGCATCGGGACCTGCCTGGACCAGCAAGTAAGACATGGACAGCGAAGACCTCGCGCGATTCGAATCGCGGTTCTTTTTCTTTCTTTTTTTCGTGGAAATAGGCTCAGATCTTGGGGAAGTCTCTCCCATCCGAAAAATGGTGGCAGATATGAAATCTTTGGGTACCATGACTGATTCCCTGGGCAAACACAGAAGAAGTGGCTCCACCTGATCAACCAAAGCTGGCCATCTGTAGTTTCACTTTCCTTTTGCAAAAGCTTGAGGAGTCGGGGGCCGATGTTTTGGCCATGTGAGTAATAAAAAGCGATCGGTACTACTGCCGGAAGCATGAAAAGAATTGAACAGGCGGCCGCCCCCATTTATTGCTGGGATTGTCCCTTGCTACCCTACAGTTGCCCGGGCGGGTTTTGATTGTGACTCACGTAGGGGTGTTCCACCCATTGAACCAATTCGATCTGGGGGGAAGGGATGGGCGCACACAACTTCCGCGATGAGATCTGGGAGGGGTAAAAGGCAAAAAGCAAGTGGTTTTTTTTGTGTGTTGTCTTCCTTTCTTTCTGTTCGTGCGATGTCTCGTACTTTTTCTGGAAGCTGTGCAAAAGGTTGGCCTTCTTGAAAACCATCTGGAAGCTTTGTGCTTTTGTTTGGCAACCATCGGGCCAAGCGCATGAAAAGCTATGAAAACCCAGCAGAACGTAAACCATGAAACAAAGCGTCCCCGGCAAAGACGACAAGGAATACGTTCAGACCGCCTGAAAACAAATCGGGGGGGAAGAGCTCTTGCTGTTCGGTTGGTTTCGAAGCGACTGGCTCAGGTCCCTGCACGTCATTTTCGGCTTCGATGACCTGAGCACCGATACCATGTCGGAACCCCCGCTACCTCTGCCAGCTGGGCGTGGCAAAAAAACCACCGGCCCTTCATGTGTCAAGTTTCTCCCCAAATCAGTTTTGGGGGATCAGAATCGTTCCCAGAAGCCACAAGGTCGCGGATGCTGAGTTCGTTCTCTAACCAAACCCGCGAATGTCTCTGCAGATTGATAGGGGACGCGCTCCACTGTGACGCCTCCGTTCTTGAATGGGCTGGTCAAAACCAAGGTTGATTACTCAACCGGGTTGGGGGTTAGCTAGCTGGTGAGCAACCTTCGTCGCAATGGTTTACAGGAGACTCAACCATATAGGGACTAACTTGGTGACAGGTCTAAGGGTAAAACTACATACCCGAAAAGTACATACCCCAAAATCTCTCGGCGTAGGGATGTACGCTTGCCACTTTTAGTGTGAGCTTTTGCCAGGCGCTTCTCGTGGCTTTTCTTGGCTGCAAGCATAGAGTGGCTATGGAGATGTTGAATCCAAGAACCCGAATGTTACCATGTTTTCCGAGTAAGCGTGAAACCTCGTTCTTAAAGAATGCTGGTGTAGCCTAGCAATGGCCACTCCCTTGCTTCTTCGTCATGCAGGGCGCAGGGCGGAGCATGCCAAGTTCTATGTGGTAGAGTGTACAGGGGAACTGCTGTGGGTAGTCGACCCCTTCTGGTGCATCTACAACAACTCAGCTCAGAAGCCACTTCGCTGAATTTTATGCGTTCGTTTCTAAGCCTCTGTTGTGTGCCTTCTTTGGGGGCCTTTGGTTGCGAGGCAATACCTCACAGTGCTGGACAAGTCCAAGAAACAAATCAAGATGGTGTTCTCTCGTATTTTCCCTGGTGTTCTCCCGCCAGAGCACTTGGCAGTTACTTGGCATCATTGAGGTGTGGGGAAAAGCCCGCAGCGCCGGTGCCTGAACAGCCTGAATCTTCATCATCTTCAAGCAGCAGCTCCTCTGACGACGGTTCGTCTTCAGAAGAAGACAAAGGCGCTCCCAAGCCGGCAGGCAAAGCCTCCGGCCGGGAGCCACAGGAGACCGCCCCAGCAAAGTCCAAGGCCAAGGCGAAGGCTCGGATGGACACTGCCCCGAAGCCCAAAGCCAAAACGAAGAGCGCGGCAAAAGCCAAAGCCAAAGAGCCAGCAAGACCAAAAGTGGCCTTGCTGCACACATCCGATGTGAAACCTGATCGATTTGTCAAGATGAGGCTGGACATGGCTCAAGACGATGCCATGGCCGAAGCCTCATCATCCGGAGTCAAGCGCAGGCGCAAGTGAAAACAGGCAGGCTGCGACACAATGTGTGATACGACCCCTATATAACCACTATATAGTCAACTTTTTTTGAGTATGTGATTTCGGGGTATGTAGA